CACATTTATGTTGTATGTTATATCGAGAAGTTATTGGCTACTGCAATGTTTGAATTTGTACGATCTGACACAGCCGAGTAATATAATATTATTACGTAACAATTTAATAATTATATTTTGTAATATAGAAGACGGACATCGGTTGATCGAGTAATATGGATGACGTGTCGAACGCGTGCCCCGTCGACGATTACCACAAGACTTGACGCGAATACTACGCTTGACATGTGACAACATTGGTATATATATTAATACAGTCCCGTCGTCGTTTCGCAACACTCGTCTATCACCCCCCACCCCCATTCTTCTCCCACACCGTACACACTGCTACATTATTATGTTCTACCTCATGTGTCGTTATCGGTCGCCGTTTTTCGAGATAATTTCGGCCCGCAATCTCAACTACCTACGCTCTAATACGATAATGACAGTATAACATTTACTAACATTACCAACAATCAAGCTATTTGAACTCGGCACAAACACTTGTAACGTCGAGGGGAACAACACGCACACACTGCACACGTCAAGTTCGATCCTCCACCACCGTCTCCGAGATAAAATTATTCGCTACAGGCTATGCTCGCATTGCCATCGAGTGCTAATAACGACAGCCAAAACCCGTCAAAAGTAATAGCTGAGAAGTGAGGATGTACATTTTTTGTAAGAAAAAAAGCAATCGATAGTGGTTTTGCGGAGTCTAAACAGCTTAAACGAGGTACTACAGCTTTGGAAAACGTGATAATACTACTGTAAAATAGAAATATTATACCATATAATATAGGTATTATTTTGACACCATCACATAATTTTTGTCTCGACGAAACATAAAAAATTCTTAAATATAAGATCAAGTTCATACATCATAATCATGCAATTAATGTTTATAAGTAACTGTAAATTACTAACTATATAACTAATGGTCACATTTATGCTTAGAAATTGAACAAAAAAAAGATTAAATAAAAAAGTAAAGTTTTGTTTATTTTTGGTGAAATACTGAAATCATACATTATATAAATTAAATGTAACGAAATATGATAATATTTTCAAGATCATAAATTCATAACATAACATTAAATTGAATATATTGAACCTCCAATACGCGAAATATGTATCATTAAGCTCAAAGTACAGCCCCTATTAACGTAAAGTTGACGATATGAATGAGATCGACGAATGACGATATACAATTATAACACTGCACTTATTAAACAGTTGAGTCCAACTCCGAACAAGCCAAAAAATTCTGAACTTCTTGAAATCGACCAATTTAATCAAATCCAAGGATAGCTATAATATAACATTTTGTAAATACTTTAATTCAGTTTAAAAGTAACCGTAACTAATGGTCTTTGCTTTTATTAAGACCAATACAAAAAATAAGCTTATATATTAAGTTAGGTAAGTACTTGTTACCTAGTTTATTAGGTACCAATTATAGGAAATATATATGGGAATTAAATTTAAATAGTATAGTCTAAAATATATTGTAATATATCATCAAGTACAATATATATACTCAAAGATAATATATAAGTACAACATCTCTTATATATAAACAATCTGCCCACAACTAATTAAAATTCTTTAATCGCTAATTGGACTTGTAAACTTGTTCTGGTTGTAATAAAATATGAAATTTTCAGCTTGCCGTCAGCTTTAAAAAATATATTATATTACCATAAACCAATAATTTGCATTTTCCCGTAAATAAAATATTTTTTATACAACATTTAGCTAATAGGTATTATAAATTGTTTATGTTGTGAACTGTCTAACTGAAGTAATTTTTAAAATTATCAAATATAAATTATCTAAAATTACACTTATCTTTATAAAGGAATAGGTAAGTACTTGTTTTATTTTATATTTTCGTAAACCTGCAGTTTTATATACGCCTTAAAATTATGTAACACAAAAATAGATGACAAATACCACGGGACAAAAAGAGTATAATGTAAAAAATTCGGGAATTATATAATAATATATGTCTAATTTAAATATCAGTGACTAAAATTTCAGACAATTTTACTCAATTTACTTTTTCGTTTAAAACGTTAGTGTAGTTTAACACGTCATAGCCTAAGGCAACTAGAAAAATCACGAACAAAACCGATCGCGGCGTCCGTGCTATATGTAAAGAAAATATTAGAAACCACTGCCGCCACCACGGTGCACCGTTAATAAGAACTTATTATAATAAAACCTTATTATTTACTTACAAAATAATAATTATTATAGACTTGCCGCTCGGAAACATTGTCGTCGTCGGATGCGGTCGTGGCATAATATTTAAAGCGGAATTCGCAACGGCGGCGGACAACAACGGACGACGATTGTTTATGATTATTATTATTATTATTATAATTATTATTATATATACCGTTCGATAGGCGATAATTAATGTTATTTTTTAGTTGCATTAATTATTTATGTATATTTTTTTATACAACGCATCCGGTCAGACGCAGTGTGGGGTTCTACCATACCTGCAGCAGGTTGCAATGTAGACTAGCTATAACAGCAGCAGCAGAAATAGTCTTATCATGAAATTACTTCCGCTAGTGTCTTGGCTTTTGATGGCACGCGCTTCTACAGATAAGCACCTGAAATCGCTGCAGAGTATAAATATAAGACGGCCTCATTGAAGGTAATTTAAAATTGTCTGTGGACTGGTGACAAATTTAGAAATTTTATAAAATCCATCGCAATTCACAATAAAAGGTCATTGACTTCCTAAAGGTTGCATTAAGCACCATCACACTGTCATAGGTATGCTTAGATAACTACTGCTGTAGATACCTAAAATTACAGATAGTGTCCTAACAAAGGTTAAAAAATGTACCTATATATAATTTGGGTAGGTACCCATTGAATTATTCTCGTCTATCGTAAACAAATCGCTAAAGTAGGTGACGAGGATATTATTAGAAAGGGTCCGCAATGAGTTTTCTAGGACAGTCCATTCTAATTACTTAATTCGTTCCATATATAACATTGATGACACTTTTCTTTTACACTTTTACTGTTTTTTTATGTTAAGCATTTTTAGTTAATTTTATTAATGTTATTAATGTTTAGGGAATATTAAACATAGTACGAGCTTATAGTATAAATTAGGACATTCAAAATATTATATCAAGAAAATATATTGTTTTCATATTTGCTTTAATAATTTCTAGTTCATTTTCACATGCATAGCAAATATCAATGTTCTATCCAGTTCTATTTACGAATATGATAATGTCTTTAAATATATATATATTATGAATATATTTAGCGATTATCGGTTGTAGATAGTATTTTATATTCTCACCGGGTCTTACTCAATCAGTCAAACAAACAGGTAACCACTAATATTGATCAGTAAAGTTACCTACTTCGCTATAGCGTTTATTTCAAAAAGGCTTACAAACTACAATAATTATTGTGAATGCCTAAGTTTGGTATTTCGTTTTTGTCGAGGTTTTCGTATTATATTTACATTGTTAGTTTAATTGAAGTAAAGAAAACGACGAAAGTTAAACCATCATTTTCCTTTCGTTTGCCACTTATCAATATTATTGCTGCGTTGTAAAGGAATCTCTTGAAAAAGATCAATCTTTTTTTTAATCGTTTTTAGGGAACTAGAATCCAGTCCATCAGTTATCACTAGGGCTCCAGACTTCTAGGAGTTTGCATGTTTTTAATTAACGATTAAAAACATAGCTAAGTAATATAGAAATTTGTTTCATAGCAATAAAAATTTATATTTAAAATTAGGTTAGTTGTATATTTCGCATATTTGACCATTTTTCATTTCATTAGTGCATATTTGACAATATTATTTATACATGGAGTAAGTTTTTTAAATGTATAAAAAAAAGTTAATTTTAAATAGATTTCCTGAACCGGATATAAATGTTTAAAAATTAATGTTAGCGTTTTTCTTGCCCGGCTTATTTATCGATTCCTTAGGGCATAAATGCATGCATATTTTAAGGTTTTTAAAGGCATGATGTCTCTAGCCCTAGTTATCACCATTTATACGTATACCTATCATGTAATATGAATACTAACTTCGTAGAAACGTATGTTTCCTATACATGTATCTATACTTGATTAAATATTGATTTCAATAATTTTATCCTCGTTTAGATTCTATAATTAAATGTCTATGATTGTATAAGTCAAACACGGATATCAACTTTTTTTAAGCAATAATTATAGCCTGTAATAAAAATGTTAAAAAAATTGTTATTTTTCAATAAATTCGACGTCATTGACAACGAGTCGTAAAACTTTGCAGTTATTGTAATAATGATTACTAGAATGGAGTTTTGAAAAAGCGTCATCACAGAAATGGAAAGATTTTCTTTAATATTATAAGTTATAACACATTTTAGGACTGATATCGTTATATTCTATATTAGAGTACTATTTACTGAGTAGGTACTACAAAATCTAATGAATACTTGGAAAATTGAAGGCGGTATTACTATTTTGAATATTGAAAAAATTACAATATAGTTAAATACACTGATCAAATACCGATAATGGAGCAGCGACAATAACTGCCTCATAATATGTGTACCTACCTATAATACATATATTATATACTAGGTACAATATACGATTATGCCAAGCATGTAGGTACCCATTTCAGAATTCCAAAAGTTCAGATTAACTAGTAGTTACCTATCTACCTACATAATATCGCAGACTTACAATAATAACCTTCCGTTCGGAAAAATTACTAATTTGTACTGGAAAACGTTCTACAGCGTGGCTTGGCAACGTTCGTCGTCGAGGCGAAAACAAGTTTTTTAATCGATGCGTCATTATAAGACCGACGACCCCCGTTGTACCTACTCACATATAGTATGGTTCACTACATCTAGCCATATTATAGGTGCTAAGTTTGACTAGTTTGAGTACCGAGTTTTAGTTATTATAAAATACCTTGCAGGCTCCTAGCTACCGATGCATATAATTACATTATAAGCCTAACGACTCACCCCGTACAGTTTGCAGTCGTCGGTCAGATGTTCAGTCGGAACGGCGGCGGCGGTGGTAGCGACTACGACTATTAGTCCTAGGCGAAACGGCGGCGGCGGCAGACTGCGGCGGCACGGAAGAGATTCTGCGGCGGCGACGTCGGCGGCCGACCACGGCGGCGTGACTACAGCGCCGTGCTGCAGTTGACATCGGCTGACGACGAGGCGGCGGACAAACGGGAGCTGTCTTGGGCCGTCTGTGCGCTTGTATCGTAAACAACGGATCGTGTGGTGGTGCAGTTAAGAACAACAACGGCGCGTCGCGTCGTACGCAGTCGAATGGAGGCGGACACGGAATTATTACGATGATCTGTCGAATCGTTTTGATAAATTTTTTTCTCCCTTACACGACGACGACTCGCGTACTACAAATAATTTAATACAACGAAAACGATCAAACGAATCGCCGTTTCATATGACGCGACAACAACGGGCAGCGACAACTACGACAACGACGACGACGACGACAACTACGACGTGATTGCCCGGGCCGATCGCTGTAAACTGCTCGCCGTAATGCGGTTCGCTGCTGCTGCTGCTGCTGTTCTGCGGCGGCGGTGGCGGCGGCGATTGTGCCCTACCGGTCGAACGCGGTACTACGCAACCAACGCCTCGACGGGCGGGAGGCGGAGCGCACGACGCTGGTCGGCCGTCGCGCGTCCGGTGAAGCGACGGTGACGGTTCCATGCTCCGCTCGTGCGGATCCGATGGGGCTGCTGTAATATACGTGCGCGTGGTTCACCTGGTGCTGCCGCCGCCGCCGTCCTTTGCCCCCTCACCACCGCAGTGGCAGTCGGCTCTCCTACGGCCGGACCAATCGCGGAGCTCGGCCACGCCCACCACACCGCACAACTCCATCCGTAAATAATAGTAATAATAACAAATAATAATAGTGATGGTAAAAAAATGGAAAAATCAAAAAATTCTCGAAAGAACCGTCCCAAAAGAGAAATTGATATATATATATATATATATGGTAATAATATTATAATAGTGTATGATACACGTACATGGTACGTTACATATATATGTGTAGACAATATTATGTATAATGCGGGTTCCTGATGTGTGCATCATTATTATTGTATTATACCTATACATACCGTGGTTATAGATGCAATGATGTATATATAGATTCGAATGTATAATATCTGCATCACTATATGGTATGTAGTCTCATGTAGGTAATGTATTCTATATATAAATGACTATGTACATTGTACATATATAATATATATATATAACTTTGTTATTTTATTTTAAATGCATGTATATTGTACATACAATAAAATATATATGTATATATATGCATACCTATATAGTATGTTCAATTTATTTTAAATTGTATATTGTTTTTACACCTTTTCATGATGTAGGTATATAGGGAAACGTGTTTTGAATTTTAAAGCTCGTTTCACATGGATGAGTTTCAGTTTACATCGATACGTATAGGTAGGTATAGTATTAAGTTCATGTATATACGCACCACTTCGAGGAGGGAAAAGTGCCACTGTCGTGAAGTATACCTTGCAGGTATATGAACTTAAACAATGTAGGTAAATTGAAACTCTCGTGGACGAAATGCAAGCGAATGATATACCATATATAGGCGTCCATGTGAAACCGCCTTATTCCACTTCGTGTATAATGTAGTTATATTGACACCTATAGTTGTATAAATATAACGGAAATATAAACCTATGTAAGTACATACAATACTTCAAGTACATTTTATTTTCATGATGATAACGACGATATTAAAGTTGTACAATATGCATATTGTATATAATCAATAAATATCTAAGTACCCAACCTCCAGCACTCTCTATGTATTTATTTTCCATCAAAATTAATCTTAATAGACACAATATATGTTTTTGTTTATATTGAGCCATATTACATACTAATTTATCATAGTTATCTATACTAGTTAGTACATGAAGGGTCACATACTGCGTCACTGCTGTAGCTGCACATTTACAATTTTGCAGGACTAATAATATACATATATATAAAGCATAATTTATTTCACAGGGTTCACTAAAAATAGATAAAGTTGCAATACTATATAGGCTATGTACACTGCATAGATATATAACTATATAAGTATACTTACTTAAATGCTTTTTCATAAACTCTCTTCCCTTAAATACCTATATACATTAGGTAATGAGTATATATAATATAATATTATATAGCATACCTATATATTATAATAATTAACAATATATTTAAATATACTATGAATCGATGTGGTATACATATGTATATGTATTTTATATAATAGAGTACAATAGAGTTTCTTATAATTTGTTTTATTATACTTAAACGTATATAGGTATATATGTAATATGTACATTCGATAATCCATGGTTTATCATTATAATATATATTCAATATACCTTCAACATTTTATAGTTCATTAAAAATATGTCAAAATGGCACTGCAAAGTTATACAAAAACCATCATAGACTCATTTCGGTAGGTAAATATTTAAAAAATGTTAAATGTGTAAATCGGGAGGCATGATTTCCCAGATAGGTATCGGTATACTTCTGCTGGATGTTTTTAATGCGACTGTATAATACGACTGCAACTAAAAATTATGGAATGTATAATATGATAATATGCATTGCCACTGGTGCACTGCGCATAAATAGATAATACACCATTTCAATAAACCACGCATAATATAAAATGGTCCATTTTACATTGTATAGCTTAAAACATTCTAGTACCTATACATATAATATTGACAGTAAAAAGGGAAAAACAAGCATTTTAGTCGGTGGAAATTATTTTAATAATATGATATCTTTTATATGTACGATTATATTATTATTAAAATAATATATTTAGGGTAGGTAATATATATATAGGTACCTACTTTTATACCATAACATTATTTCCACACTGAAACCGCAGCTGCATCAAAACGATTAATATCATAATCGTCAAGATAAAAGGAAAAAACCAAAAACAACAACCGTCTTATAATAGTGTCTACAGTCGTCAAATCGTGATTATTATTATTTTTCATTTTTTTATTATTATTATCATTATTGTTAATATTATTATTATTGTTGTTTTCGTATACCGACTGCTGCAGGCGCGACGATGATTAACCAAACAACAACGTCGAATGTAATATAATGTATGTGTAGGTTTGCTCACGGTTTAGTAATAATAATAATAAAACATATACGTATAAATATAATACATAATTGAATATAATATATAGCACAACGCAGCAGCTATATAATATAATATTTATATTATGTGCGATATTATGATAAATATAATATTGTTCGTAGGTTTATCGCGGTGAAAAAATACCTACCGTTTACCTATCCCCGTAAATATATGTATACAAAACATATATTTTCAAATGAAAAAATAACCCGTGGAAATAAAGACATGATATAATATTTATATATACGAGAAGAAAATTTTGCTAACAATATATGAGCTGCAGCTTCGGGCGGTCTACCTACCTACGAGGGAAAAGATCCTCGTTTTCGAGTGGTGATATACGCGCGAGATTCAATACACGTGTACCTATATATAATATAGATATATATACATAACGACGAGGACGAGAGATCAAACGCGCTAATCCCTCTATAGTATATATATATATATAAAGAGAGACCTCGGGTGGAGGGCTGTATAGTACCTATATATGTGTACATATGGCTATTGCAGTACAACTCCCTCGGAAAACCCTTTTCGTTGCCGTATACTTTTAATACCTATACACTCGCACTTGTAAAACGCGGACAATAAGAACAAATTGTGAGCTTTTTTTTTTTGTAAGCGAGAAAACGCTCGTAATTACACTATATTACCTATTCTTCATACATATATATATATATTTATATTTACAGGGTGGTAATGCACCTCGGTTTCACGTTTTCTCATTTAACTATAACACTGATGCAGGAAAATGGGAAAACGTGGTTTGCCGCATACATATTATATAATATATCAATTGTATCTAGACGATTTTACGATTTCACTGTCAAATATTTTCCAGATAACATATAGGTAGGTACCTACCACATTATAGGTTGCTGTATCCATAATGTACAATAATATGCTCCTTCGCGACGTAGTGCAATAATAATAAATACCTATTGTGTATTGTGCACCTATTACACACACTCTCGCAGTGACGTGTATATACCTATGCATACAATACTTTTTGATTTTTCTAGCTCTCACAACTATATAAAGGTGGAGTATATTATTATTATTATTGTGTGGTTTTTTTTCTATTGTCATAATATTAATGTAGACACAATAATACCATCGATTGCTGCAGGTATTCGTATATACTCGTACAGTCGTACCTACCTGTATCATAACTCGGTTTCGCATCGGCCGCGTGGTAACCGCACACGCGGGCTCGCTCAGTCATCGCCGGACGATTTGTCACCCGGCGCGTAGGTGCGCGTTCGATACGTGTACGCGGGATACCCGTCGCACGTCGCGGTCCCCCGAGATATTATTACTATTATTATTAAAATATATGTACAACGAGTGACTTGATGGATTGCCGTCCGGGGACGTATCGTTACCGACGTCGATAATAATATATATTATTGAATATTAATAATAAATATTTATTATACAATGTGTGCAGCCAGCTCATCGGCACGTTGTCGTGGATCGTCGTCGAGGCGTAAGATCGTCATCGCATACTCTTTAGATCGCCGTCGTCGTATTACACTCGGGTACCTATACATAACGCTTCAAAATGCACCTCCCATTGCAATCTAGGTATATACAGGTACAACCTGCGTGTGTATACGAGCCGTTGCTCACCCACGAGTCGCGGCCACATCGATTTACACTCGTTTGTTTCTTCGACCGTCGTCGTTTTTAGGTAGGTACATTACAATATACATGCATAATACAATATCATATAATATGTATACGTATAGGTGCTCCACCGACGTATACGCATCTATCGATCGATAATCGCGTCAAAAGTTATGATACAGCTACTTTGAACGCTATACACGTTACGTTCCACGTTATGTGCGCTGCACCGTGCAGGTTTCGGGTGTGCATATACATAATATTATATAGGTAGGTATATATCATATATACACACGTAATATATCAACTATATACTAGGTAGCGGACGAGGAGATACGCGACGGCGGTGGCGGCAGACACTAATCGCTCGGGCCCGGGATCGATTAGGTACAGATAACGCGCGCGTGATTTATTATCCGCGTGTACGCCGCCGCCGCCGCTGCGATGTTGTACGTATATATTATTATTATTATTATTATTATTATTATTACTATTATTATTACTATTGTAATATCATTGTACAGTCGGGTGTCCAGTAACGAAATCATTCAAACGCGCGCACAACGAATATGCGTTATAAATATGAATAAATATTAGATATTATATATATATATTATTATATACGTGTTTGTATTATAATAAATATGCGGCGAAGGGGAGTCGCCGATGTGTATGTACAGATAGACGTGCGTATAATATACATC